AGCCTCAAACCTTATTTGGCGAGTTGCTGTGGTGAGGCCTCTGGAGCTGCGGGCCGCCCCATGATGTCACCCGAAAGGAATGTGAAAACCTAAGCTCTGGGTCAGGCCAGCCGCGGCCGAGGATGTGCTGTGTTCTCCTTGGGGATCCTGAGGTCCTGTCTTCAGGAATCTCCTCCTCTGGGTGCTGGGGAACTCAGGCTCTGCCACCCTGCCCGAGAAATCCCGTGCTTTATTGTTTGAAATGTGTTAGGGCCTCCAGTCTGGAATTGGCTCCACAAAAGTCAGGGAAATTCAACCCAAAATGAATCACCCCTTAGTGTTCGTGGAGGATTGGTTCTAGAGCCCCTGAGAGTCCCAAAATCTTTTAATGCCTCAGTCTCTTATCTGATGATGTAATATTCAACTTGTATAATCTCATATACTTTGTCATTTATTTACTTGTGGGGTTCAAACTCGGGTCCTTGCGCTTGCAAGGCAGGCCACCGAACCACTGGGCTAAATCCCCGGCCCTTTTTTTTTTTTTTGAGACAGGGTCTCACTATGTAGTTGAGACTGACCTGGAACTCACTATGTAGCCCAGGCTGGTCTTGAACTCACAGCGATCCTCCTGCCTCAGCCTCCTGCGCTGGGATTACAGGTGTGGGCCACCATGCCCGGCTCGTTATTATTATTATTATTATTTTGGCAGTACTGGGGATGGAACTCAGGACCTTGAACTGAGCTGCATCCCCAGCCCGTTATTTTTTTTTTTTTCTTTTGGTATAGGGGATCAAACTTGGGTCCTTGCGCTTGTGAGGCAAGCGGCAGAACCACTGGTCCCCTTATTATATTTGAGCCAAATCCCTGGTCCCCTTATTACATTTTTAAGATAGGGTCTCACTGTTTCCCAGACTGGCCTCAAACCTGTCTCAGCCTCCCAAATAGCTGCGGTTACAGGCATGCACTGCTGCAGCCAGCTGGTTCCAAGGCGGGCAGGAGTTTAGTTTTAGGGAAGGGATGCTGGGGATGGGACCCAGCCCTCCTGCACGCTGAGTATTTGCCGTCCCACTGAGGGGCAGCCCCAGCTCCCACCTGGAGACTTTGGTGATGCCTGGCTTGTGTAACCGGACGGGACCGTGTCTTAACCACAGGTCCTTATCTTCAGCTGCGTAGTCCGTCACCTCAGGTGGACTCCTGTGGCGGGGGCCGGCTCAGCAAGTTCACGTACTTTTCTTCCCCTACCGTTTGTTTTGTACTCTGCAAGCTCTCAGGGTGGTTTGTGTAGTTTCTTTTTTTCCTTCCTGTGGGTGCTGAGGATGGAACCCAGGGCCTTGTGCATGCTGGACAAGTGCTCCACCCTGTGGAGGTTTTTTGTTGTTGTTGTTTTGCTGAGTCGGGGTCTCTCTGTGTAGCCCAGGCTGACCTCAAACTCAGGATGACGCTCCTTCTTTAGCCTCCCGAGTGCTGGGATGACAGGTGTGCGCCAGCACACCTGGCCTGGTTTGTATCTTTTGCAGGGGGTACTGGGGATTGAACTGAGGACCCTGCACTTGCAAGACAGGTGGTAGCACAGCTGACCTAAATCCCCCGCCCTGGATTGTGTATTTTTAGTTTATTGGTTTTTTTTCTTTTTTGGTACCGGGGATCGAATTCAGGTCTTGCGCTTGCGAGACAGGCAGAAGAACCACTGAGCTAAATCCCTGGCGCTAGATTGTGTATTTTTAAACGATTGGGGTTAAAAAAAATGGACTCATCTCATCTGCTCGGAGTCCCTCTCTCCGTGCCTGGGGCTGCCCTGCTCGCTCCTACTGTTTCTGTGGAAAACCGAACATGGCCCTGGGCCCACTGGGGCCCTGTTGTCCCGAGCACTGCAGTGCTGAGCAGCGTCCCTGGCCTCCACCCGCTTCATAGCAGGTGTGGTACATCCCCAGGTGACAAGCCGCAGCTGTCCCCAGACAGGGTCCCGTGTTGCTGGTGGGCAGTGTTGCTTCTGTTTGGGAGCTTTTTTTTTTTCCCCCAGTGCTGAGGTTGGGACCCCGGGCCTTCACAGTGCGCTCCATCCCCAGCCCCTTGTAGTTTTTGCCAGGGTGTTGCTTAGTCCATACGTTGCCCAGGCTGGCTGGAACGTGTGACCTTCCTGCCTCAGCCTCCAGAGTGTTGTAATAGGATCATCTCCCCAGCACAGTTTCACAGTATCTGCTGTTTCGCGCGTTGTGACTTTCCCGTTGGTGCAGTTTTTCCCTGCTGGCTGCATGTTATTGGAGCATATGAGTCACCCCATCTTCTTTCTCTGTGGCCGCCTCTGGTGTCCATCTGCTTTGTGGTGTTTGGACCCAGGCCCAAAGTCGTGACTGCGGGGATCTGGGAAGCGCGTGGCTCTCTCCCACGTCTCTCCAGCCCCAGCGGCCCAGCAGCACCTGCTGCAGCGGGTTATCCGCACACAGCCTGCGCAGCCCGGAATCCAGGGCTGTGAGTCGGGAGGACGCTCGCTGTGGGTTTCATTTCATGTCGTCGTCACTGTCAGTAACCCTTAGTGACAGAGGGAAATCCGTGGGCACAGGATTGGTGTGGGGGGAGGGTCCACGGCTGGATGCTGGGCGCCTGTGGTGTCTGGGTTCTGGGCTGAGCCCCACTGCGGCATAGAGGAGGGTGGGTGAGGCTGAGACCCCAACCCCTACCTTGCCGTCCGTGACCCCGCCCAGGCTTTGGCCTTGTGCGTGGTGGCCTTTTGCCATCGTCCTGAAGCCCAACGCAGGCTGGCTCTTCCCCGCAGGACTCCAGAGCCTCAAGGATGGGGCTGGTCCCTTTGGGCTGGGTGGTTTGGCTCTGCAGTCTGGTCACTTCCCTCCCACTCCGTCCTGGGGCTGGGGCTGAGCGTGAACAGGGAGCCACCCAGGGACGGGGGTCTCTGAGCAGGAGCCTAACACCCGGCCGGCAGGAAGAGGTGCTTCCCAGGGTTTGGAGACAGTGGTGCTTGGCTGCAAGATTATTTCCCCTGTGCCTGGGGTCTGAAGCCAGGGCATTGGCATTTGAGCTGTGTCCCTGTCCCTACCTCCTTTTTTTTGAGAGACAGGGTCTCCCTGAGTCACTAAATTGCCCAGCCGGGCTCACACGCGCGATGCCCCTGCCTCTGCTCTCTAGTTGTGTGTGAGGTGTGAGGCCGGGGGGATCGAGCTCACACGGGTGAGCACTGCACGGCACCGCCAGAGTCCTGAGGGAGGCGCAGGACGTGGGGGCAGAGTGGGAACTGAGGAAAGGGCCGCCCCTCCCGCGGCTGCAGGCAGAGCCGGGTCCCCCCCCCGTCCCCGCAGACTGGTCAGTGGCAGGTGCAGCTGCAGACCGCACGCTCTGGGCCGCCTGGTCACTCCCCGCACGGCGCCTCTCCCCGCGGTACCCTCAGGTGCTCAGGCCACCTGTCCCCAAGGCCTGTGCCCCTCCTTCCTTTCCAGCGCCTTGTGCCCCAGCAGCCCAGGATTTCCTCTTGGACCACTCACCCTGTTCTAGTGTACTCGCCTCCAGATCCGGGTCCTCTCTCTGCGTCGCCAGTGTGTCAGAGAGGCCGTGAGCTGTGTCTTAGTTACTTCTCTCAGGCCCGGGACGAAATTCCTGACACCCACAGGTCAGGGGAGGAGAGGCGTTTAGCTCAGTTTGTAGAGGTTTCATCGGTCCAGAGCTGGCCCCAAGGCAGGAGACGACGAAGCAGCAGCAGCCTCTCCCTTGTACCCCTTCTAGGCCACCCACGCTCAGGGGGGGCCTTCCCGGTACCCACACCCAGAGCTACGCCAAACCAGTCAGCGGATTAATCCTGTACTTTTTCTTTCTTTTTTGGTACCGGGTCTGGGACCCGGGACCGTGCGCCTGCAAGGCAGGCGGTGGCATCGCTGAGCCAACTCCCCGGCCCTGATGCTGTCCTCTCAACCCCAGCCACCTCCACAAAGCCCCACCTGTGCCCATGAGGTTTTGGGGGGACACCTAGAGCCACACCGTAACATAGAAGGTATGAGTAGCACTTGGGGAGGCTGAGGCAAGAGGATCTAAATTTAAGCCCAGCCTGGGCAACTCAGTGACTTAGACTCTGCCTCAAAATTAAAAATTTTAAGAAGGGCTGGAGATGTAGCTCAGTGCAGACTGCATTCTCAGTTCTGCAAAAGGGAAACAATCCAGAAACCAGTGAAGACACAGGCGGGGAAGTCTAGGGATGCGCAGTTCCCGGGCCGTTTCCGAGTGTGGCTTCCTCCCCGTCTTGGGCAGTCCTGAGCTGGGAGGTTCCCGACACCACCTCGCTGGGACTGCAGAGGACACGCGGGGATTGGGACAGGGCCCACCTGACCCAGAGAGCCTAGGGTATTGACTGTTCGGCCTTTCTTGTCACTTCTTGGGTTAAGACAATACCGAATGTAACCACAGGCCCAGACAGTGTGAGGGCTCAGGCTCCCTGGGTGCAGCAGATAGAGTTTGTGTGCAGCAGATAGAGTCTGTGTGCTCTTTCTCTCCTCTTCATGCAGTGGCTCTGACCCCCCAGTCCCGTGTATATGCTAGGCAAACACTGCCACTGAGCAATGCCCAAGTCCTGTTCTCTGTCTTTTCCGAAGAGATAAAATTGATGCACTAGCCTGTGATACCAGCTACTAGTTAGGCTGAGGCAGGAGGATCCTGACATCAAGACCAGCCTGGGCAATGTAGCGAGATCCTATTTGCAAATGAAAAAAGAAAAGGGCTGGGGATATAGCTCAGTGGTAAAGCATCCCTGGGTTCAATCCCAGGAATGTATACACATACAAAAACTTTTTACATGCTGTGTATCTTACCCATTTAACAATGATTTTTGTGATTGTCTTGCCTCAGCCTCCCAGAGGCTGAGATTATAGGTGTACGCCACCATGCCTGACTCATTTAATGATCTTTAACACACTGACAAGGTAGTGTAAGCATCACCAACGAATTCCAGTACGTTCTGTCATACACAAAGAGAAGCCTTAACCCATAGCAGTCACCTGTCCCCTTGCCAGCCCTGGCACCCGAGTCCACTCCCGAGCGTTTCCTGTCCCTGGAGCCCATCCTGTGTCCCATGTCTGGCGTCTCATGGAACAGGGTGTCCTCCAGGTCTGTCCATGCCAGGGCGAGCGTCTCACTCTTCCTGGCTGAGAAGCATCCGAGTGGGAACAACGTCACTGTGTGCCGGATCCCCTTTGGCCGTTGTAAATATGTCCCTGTAAGCATTTACATGTAAATGCTTGTGCAGAAGTATGTTTCCCTCTTGGGTGTACACCTAGGAGTGTAATTGCTGGGTTCTGCGGAAACCCTGTGTGGTTTTTTTGAGACAGGGTCTCACTGTGTAGTTGAGACTGACCTGGAACTCACCGTGTAGTCCAGGCTGGTCTCGAACTCACAGCGATCCTCCTGCCTCAGCCTCCTGAGTGCTGGGATGACAGGCATGTGCCACAGCGCCCGCGTGGAAACCGTGTGTGTAACATTTTTTGTTTGTTTCTGAAATAGTCCCTAGGACGCCGTACGTGGCACAGCTGAAGGGGTAATGTTCCCTTCGGCTCACATTTGTAGTCCGCGGTCTCCGGCTGTAGTGCAGGAAGGCGGAGCTGGCTGGACGGGTCCAAAGCGCCCGGCTGGAAACCGTGTGTGTAACATTTTTTGTTTGTTTCTGAAATAGTCCCTAGGACGCCGTACGTGGCACAGCTGAAGGGGTAATGTTCCCTTCGGCTCACATTTGTAGTCCGCGGTCTCCGGCTGTAGTGCAGGAAGGCGGAGCTGGCTGGACGGGTCCACGTGGAGAGAAGCTGCTCAAGGCTGGCAGCCAGGAGCAGAGCGAAGGGAGGAGCAGGGCAGGAGGCGGACCCTTCCAGCCACACCACAGTGACCGCCTCTACTGACCAGACCCTCCGCCTCGGCAAGTCAGCCAGAGCGACCCTCTAATCCACCACCTCCCCAAAGCCCCGCTTATGAGTGTGTGAGGCTTTTGCAGTTCAGACTGCTCTGGAACTCACTATGTAGCCCAGGCTGGTCTCCAACTTGCAGCGATCCTCCTGCCTCAGCCTCCCCAGTGCTGGGATGACAGGTGTGCGTCACCACGCCCAGCTAAACCAGTTTGTTCTTGAGACAGGGTCTCCCACTTGCCCTCTGCTCTGTCCCCTCAGTGGCCAGTTTGCCATCGTGCGGAAATGCCGGCAGAAGGGCACGGGCAAGGGGTACGCAGCCAAGTTCATCAAGAAGCGGCGCCTGTCGTCCAGCCGCCGAGGGGTGAGCCGGGAGGAGATCGAGCGCGAGGTGAGCATCCTGCGGGAGATCCGGCACCCCAACATCATCACGCTGCACGACGTCTTCGAGAACAAGACGGACGTGGTGCTCATCCTCGAGCTGGTCTCGGGCGGCGAGCTCTTCGACTTTCTGGCTGAGAAGGAGTCGCTGACCGAGGATGAGGCCACCCAGTTCCTCAAGCAGATCCTGGACGGGGTCCACTACCTGCACTCCAAGCGCATCGCCCACTTCGACCTCAAGGTGAGCCAGGGGGCTGCCTGGTCCCTGAGCCGCCGCCGCCGTGTCCCTGTCCCGTGGGCACGAGCCGCAGAGGCCCCTCCATCCCCCACAGCCGGAGAACATCATGCTTCTGGACAAGAACGTGCCCAGCCCGCGAATCAAGCTCATCGACTTCGGCATTGCCCACAAGATCGAGGCCGGCAACGAGTTCAAGAACATCTTCGGCACCCCCGAGTTTGTGGGTGAGGCCGCGGTTGTGGGGGACCTGCTGTGTGCGGGGCCCTGGCCGCCAAGGCGAGCTCTGCAGAGCCCGGATCTCAGCCTGCGTCTCCCTGTCCCGCAGCTCCTGAGATCGTCAACTATGAGCCGCTGGGCCTGGAGGCAGACATGTGGTGAGTCCCCGAGTCCCTGAGTCCCTGAGTCCCCGGCACAGCGTGGGTGGCTGCTGGCGGCCGGGGTTCCTGCTGTGCCTGGTGCTGACCACCCTCGTGTCTCCTCAGGAGCATTGGCGTCATCACCTACATCCTGTGAGTCCCTGGAGAGCCCAGGGTGCCGGGTGCTGACTCTGGACACCGCAGGGGACGAGAGGGAAGCAGCGGGTGACTGCAAAGTGACCCTGCCCTGTGACGTGGCCGGTGCAGCTATGGGCGAGGGAGGGGCCCAAGTCCTCACCTTCCCCAGCGCCACCGTTCCTTGGCTCCCCCAGGCCGGGCCCGTGCCCGGGGTCTGTCCCCTCCCTCGTGTGGGGGCAGGCACGGCGGTCAGACCTCACGGGCCTGGGGAGATGAGTTCAGGTGGTGTTTCGGTTTCCCCAATTCTGATGTACTCAGGGGCTTGGGGAAGAGCTGGAAACAGTCCCAGCCTCCCTTCCTCTCTCACCTGTCCTCGCTTGGTACTGTCTCCTGCCATGCAGTCCGGGGTGACACGAAGGTGGCCTCCCCGGTGCTGCCCTTGGAGCCCAGCACCCACAGCCAGGTGGCTCCCGCTCCCTGCCTGCCCGGCACCTCTAATACTCGGTGGCTGGAGACAGTTCCTCATCCTTGTCCCCAGTGACCTTGGCTCAGGGGCACACTCGGGCTCGTTGTAGCACATCCCCAGTTGGGACTCTCCTGATGTCCCCTCGGGGGTCACCCTGGGTCCCCTGGCATGGCACTGCATCTCCCGGCACAGTAGGTGGACAGGTTCATGACAGGGACACGCGCCCGTCTCTGGGTGCTCCAGAAAGTGGCCGTTTTCCTGACTGGTTACTGATCGCCTGGGAGAGATGCTTGGGACCGCTTGGCCCTCACTCTGAGTTCCGCAGGGACCCCTTGGGACAGCGCTGGTCACTGGTGCCCGTGAGCGGCTGGGGACCCCGGGGAGGTGTGGGGCGACCCACCCTCTGCACGGCTCATCACAGGAGCAGTGGAGTTGGGGTGGCCACGGCATGGCGAGGGGCAGTGGGGACTGCTCTGACCACATCCCGGGTCTGTCCTGCAGTCTCAGCGGGGCGTCCCCGTTCCTGGGCGAGACCAAGCAGGAGACACTGACCAACATCTCGGCGGTGAACTACGACTTCGATGAGGAATACTTCAGCAACACCAGTGAGCTGGCCAAGGACTTCATCCGTCGCCTGCTGGTCAAGGACCCCAAGTACGGGGGACGCAGGGGGTGGGGCCTGGAGGTGGGGTGTTGACGCCCCCAGGCCCAGAGCTGGAGGCCAGCTTAGCTTCCACTCTGACGGGAGATGACAAACTGGCAGCTGTGGTTGTTCACACCATGCGTGCGTGTGTGTGTGTGTGTGTATTTATTTTTCCTGATACTAAGGATAAACCTAGGGATTTTGCACTGGGCAACCTCCCCAACCCTATTTTAAAATTTGGAATTTTGAAATATTCCAAATGGGCTCAAACTGGAGATCCTCCTGCTTCAGCCTCCCCGAGTGTTGGGATGGCAGGTGTGTGCCACCATGCCCAACTCCACACTATGTTTTCAAAAAATGTTCCAGTTTATTGCAGCATTTCAGATAGGTTTTGCAGTGAATTCCAGATGATTGCTTTTTCCTAGACCTAGGACCCGGCCACATGGGGCCCTGATCCCTTCCCTGGTGCCACTGCCCTCCACCCCAGGGGCTCGGCTCTGCTAACCAAAGCCCAGAGAGCATTGAGACCCGAGCCCCAGAGGCCCTGGAAGGAAATAGCCACTTTGGGTGGCCAGGCCGAGGCTGGGGGCTGTCCTAGGGTCACACTTGAGGCTGGGAGCTGAGGGCCTGGCTCGCAGCGGGGATGCCCTGGATCACCTAGCCTCGCTCGCTGCTTTGGGGACCACTCAGGGTCACACACACATCTCTCGGGGTGGGGTTCTTCCAGGAGGAGAATGACCATCGCCCAGAGCCTGGAACATTCCTGGATCAAGGTGAGGTCCCTCTGCCTACCCGGGTGGGGGTGGCTGTCCTCACACCGCTGGGTGTCAGCCTGATAAGCCCTGAGTGCCCGGGGACTGGCCGTGCAGAGGGGTCCGGCAGGGCCCCTGTGGACACTCTGGGAAGATGCCACTTACCCGGCGCAGGGCTGGCTGTGGCCTGGGCCCGACGTCCCCACGTCCCGCCGTCCTCACAGGCCATCCGGCGGCGG